AAAAAAAACAAATAATTATTCTAAGTTAAATCTTATAAATAAAAAGTGAAAATAATATATATATATATATATATATATATGTGTGTGTGTGTATGTGATAAATACAAATTGAGATAAACAAATTTCTTTTTAAAAAAATCCTTAATAACTTTTCATTAAAGAAAAGTGTTTAAAAACAATTTCCTTAAATAAAAGTCTCTAAAAATACTATAATTGTGCAAAATAATTATTCTTATTTAATATATAAAATAAAAATGGATGATAATGATAAGTAGACTATATATTCTAAATTATTTATCTACGAACTTTAAGTTATATGAAAATAAATACTTGTTTTGTACAGATAACATACTAGTAATTAACAAATATGTAAATGATATATAACTAGTATTTTAGTCTATGAATTATATAAATATTGATATTTATTTTTATGTGATTAAAATATATAAGAAATAACAAAATCTAAATATATAAATTATAATATAATTGAAATTAAAATTTATAATAATGAAATAAATATATGTAAATATATAAATTATATTTTAAATTTTATAATGAATGATTTAAATCATGATATTAAATTATTTTTAAATATTGATAAATTTAAAAAATATTGAATTTTAATTTATTTAGAGATAAAGTAGATAAAATAGATTGTAAAGGAATAAGAAATTAAAAAAAAAGTAAAGTATATAAGTAAAGATAGAAAGTTGACAATCAATCCCCTATATATTAAATACAATTGATTATCTTATACACAAGTGTTAAGAATTTCACCCAGAGAATTTTAAATTTTTTTGAACTACATATCTATTTTAGTTTTTCTTTATCATAATTATTTATTAATTAAATATTAATTTTTTAAAAAATAATTAAAGTTATCTTGTATTGTAATATAAATTATTTATCATAAATTTAAAATATAATTTATATATTTAAAAATATTTATTTATTCAAAATTTAAATATATAATAAATATTTAATTTCTACATTGTACATACTAAAATATTAGTTTGAGATGATTAAAAGATAAATTATTTTACTAATTGTGAGAGTGTGAGAAACACACAATTTGATGAAATAAAAAGTATAATATCAAAATTATCTAAATAAGAGGGGGACGAGTGAGAGTCTAAAGATCATGCTAAAAAGATATAAAAATGAAAGTTTATATTAAAAATAATGATAAGTAAACCTAAAATCTCTAACAGCAGTAATCTTGATCGATTTGTGGTTGTTGTTTTCTTAATAAAAGAATATCTTAGTCAAAAGATACATTTATAGAAATTTATAATATACATATACGAAGGGGATTATAATTATACCGGTGTAACTTTTACCAAGTGTTACACCACTCAATAACTTTATATTAAATGTAAATTTTGTAAATTCAACCGTTAGATTAAAAATTCATATCACTTTATATGTGTATATCAAATTTTGTTAAAATTGAACAACAATTTGAAGGTAATCAAAGTGTTCATATTTTAGTATATTTTGAAATGAATATATATATATAGAAGGGTTATAATTACACCGGTGTAACTTTTACTAAGTATTACACTGCTTAATAACTTGATATTAAATGTAAATTTTGTAAATTCAACCGTTAGATTGAAAGCATATTTCTTAAATCATATATATAAAATTTTATATTAATCTAAGATGATTTTATATTTCATTCTCATAAAACAAAATTGACGTAATATATACATTTCAAAATATACTAAAATATGAACACTTTGATTACCTTCAAGTTGTTGTTCAATTTTAACAAAATTTGACATATATGATCTAAGAGATATGAACTTTCAATCTAACGGTTGGATTTTCAAAATTCACATTTAATATAAAGTTATTGAGCGGTGTAACACTTAGTAAAAGTTACACCGGTGTCGTTTGAACCCTCCTCTATATATATATATATATATATATATATATATGAGGAGGGTTCAAACGACACCGGTGTAACTTTTACTAAGTGTTACACCGCTCAATAACTTTATATTAAATGTGAATTTTGAAAATCCAACCGTTAGATTGAAAGTTCATATCTCTTAGATCATATATATCAAATTTTATATTAATCTAAGATGATTTGATACTTCATTCTCATAAAATAAAATTGACGTAATATATACATTTCAAAATATACTAAAATATGAACAGATTGGTTACCTTTAAGTTGTTGTTCAATTTTAACAAATTTTGATATAAACATATAATATCCTTCTCATATATATATATATATATATATATATGAGGGGGTTATAATTACACCTGTGTAACTTTTACCAAGTATTACACCGTTCAATAACTTTATATTAATTGTGAATTTTATGAATCCAATTGTTAGATTGCAAGTTCATATCACTTTATATGTAAAGGTAATCAAAGTGTTCATATTTTAGTATATTTTGAAATGTATATATTACGTCAATTTTATTTTATGAGAATGAAGTATCAAATCATCTTAGATTAATATAAAATTTGATATATATGATCTAAGAGATATGAACTTTCAATCTAACGGTTGAATTTACAAAATTCACATTTAATATAAAGTTATTGAGCGGTGTAACACTTAATTAAAGTTACACCGGTGTCGTTTGAACCCTCCTCTATATATATATATATATATATACCAATAAAACTTTGTTAATAAAGAAAATACAATTAAATATCCAAAACAAGTTATATACGTCCAGACAAGTGAAAGAAAAAAGAAAAAAAGGACAAAGAGAAAAAAATAATAATAAAAAAAACAGCCTACGATTACAAGTTGAAATAAAATACTATAATACATGCTTACGAACTTGCGTTTCAAAAAATATCCATTTTCAAACCTATGTTCCCACGCAAAAATTTAGTACCCATTTATGTACGTAAATAAACGCATTTGTCTTCATAATTAATTTCTTACTAAAGAATACACAACAGGAAAAATAATTATCAATTCAATCAGTTAAATCTAAATTCAAATTAAGCCCGCTCAAATTACCCCAAATTCGGGTAATTTTGAAATCCCCTCACATTACTTAAGAATATTTTAAAATTAAATAAATACTTTTAAACATTTCGGACAAAAATATTTATTTATAAATATAATCCAATTCCTAAAATTAGCTGTTGTAGACATACTCTGAATGCTGCATAACATTGATACATATAAAATCAGCGTACGTTAACCAAGATAAAGTAATGCCCCATTTTCTTCACTGCTCTTAATTTGCCTGATATGAGGGGCTCTGCATCAACCGCACAAACAAGTTAAAATAAACTAGACATCAAAATTATTAACAACTTGTATTCCTTAATCAAAGAATGAAGTTTGATTCTCAACTTGAGCTTAAAGTCAGGACTGAACACTTTACTCCTAAATAGGCCCACTCGAGAGAGAGTGACCTCCTGGTTATACGAAAAATAAATAGTAAAACCAGACACCAGAAATGGTGAGGGAGCACACTTATCATTACATAATTAAAACCACAACCTAATGCATCAAGTATCGATTCCTTCGTCATAGCATATACGACTTGCTACATACTACACTACCAACATGGTGTACCTGAGTATCAGAACGATATGTATAATTGGTCCAGTCCACAATCTAACAAATGACAGAACTCTTTAATGGTTCTGATCAAGATGGTCACAGGAGTCGGGAGGGAAGAATCCTTCATCAAAAAGTACCCTGCTGATTTGACATTAATGATTGTTTCAATTTCTGATGCCCAAAATCCAATATATGGAAATACAAATGAATATACTTTGTCTTAGTCTGCTTTTAATCTCAAGATTTCCTTGGCTGTTCTGCGCCGGAAGTAAGACATGTGTTCCTAAAAATGAAATTGTGGAAAGAGAAATTCGATTCAGAAACCATATGAAAAGTTAGTCATAAAATTAAGGCTTCCTCAGTCAATTTGACAGGGCTTAAAATGTGATCCATTGAATCTTTTTAGAATGTTCCGTTGGGCAAGGAAACATTGGTATTATAACAGCTATATACCATACACATCGTACAAGGATTACACTTGATTTTTTTTAAAGAAAAATTGTAAACAATTATCAAGACTTTGAATCTGTTTGAATACAAATTTAGAAGCTTTTTTTTTTAACTTATCTACTAGAAAATACTCTTTAATTTCAGTAGAGAAACTCTCAAAAATGTTTCTAACTTGTATCCAAAGAGACTCTTTAAAGTTGAAAGTCCTATTACTAATTTTTTTTGGCAACAAGCAATCTATATTGGCAGTAAGAAATACTTCTTATCAAACAGCTGAATGACTTGCCAAGTTAACGACTCCAGAAAAAGAAAAATATTTCAATGCTATAAAATGAACAGAAAACAAAGACATTATTTTCTTACATAATGGAATGTTCTAATATCTTACCTGGTTGAAACACAGCCCCAAGTTTCTGCTATAGAAGTCAGCATATTTGATCATAAACACCCCACAATCATACCTGTTCAAATATAAAATTGCATTTAGAAAATAACTTGCCTACAAAACTGCTGCACTGTTCAAATGAACCATAAAAAAAAAAAACGAATGAAAATTGATATGGTATGTGTAAAGTGCTGATGTCTAAACATCTCTTATTTTTAATTCCTACCAAGGCCATTTAAGAAATTCTTCCCAAGAGAGTCAGATAGAAGTTTGAATATATTTGTTACACTAGTCAAAAAGTCTATCCAATGCTAAGCAAACATAGGTTTAATCAATAATTTAGATGGAAATTTCTACTGGGCAATTAACAAGCCATCAAGCTCAGGTGAACAAAAATCATATGCATTAATAGTAACTACAACTAATGAACCTTCAAAGAACAAAGAAAATTAAACCTCCATGGCCCCTAGGACTAATTAGTCCAAAGTCTCGATGACAAATAATCAATAAAATAACAAAGTAACAAAAAATAAAGCTTCCTGTAAGTTCAAAATATGGTCAATGCATAAAAAATCTATTAATGGTGAGTTTGCTTGTAAGTTGTAACCAATCAAAAAGCAACTTTTCTCATTTCATTTATCTAGTGATTCCCTTTTTAATATTGGATATCTATACAATGATATTTCATTTTAAAAGTGCAAGAATATATTAATTATATAAGGAAAGCTGACTTTGAGCCAATAAGATATAATTCATAGGCAGCGGGAATTTACCGCTGATTATTTTTTATTACAGAAGTTTTCATTTTCATTTTTAAATGAAAGGTAAAAAAATGACTAAACTGATGATGATCCCCATTAATTGAAATCCAGTAAGATAAGAAATCAAACCCGTTCTGCTGCTCAGGAAGGTCTTCAACAAATTCTTTTTTCCAAGAACTTACATCAATATCTTTTCCAGTCTTGTCTTTTACTTCATCTACAATATAGCTAGCCTGGTAAACATCAATGATAAACATCAGGAACTGCCACAGCCACTGTGAATACATCTATATATATTCCTGAGCAACATCTAATTAAGTCCTGTGGGAAATGCCGACTTGTTCCTTAATGGAATAGCAACAATGATGACATAAATATGTAATTTCAGAACTTGAAAGTTTTGTCTCCACAACTAAAAGTCTAAAAGATGACACAGTTAAGAGGCACACTTAAGCGCCAAATTCTAGGCAAAAGCCTGCACCTAATCAAACCAAATCACCTTCATTTGGTTTGTAAAGATTTAAAAACCAAACAAGACCTATTGAAAACACCGGAACAGCAAAGAACATTTTTTGTTTTACACGATGAAAATCTCATGTTACCTAAAACAGTAGCTAATATCCAAGATAATTCTAATTTACAATATAAGGACCTATATTTATATACACAATGTCTAAAACAATTGTACAAATTCAAAAAAAATGTAATGTTCAAATTCACATACTAAGTCAACATTCCAACACACAAATGTTTGAGCACTAATCATAATTGAAGAGTGTTAGCAACAGATTCTTTCTAACACACTACTATTGGTTAAAATTTATCGAAAATTACATAATCAAAAGAGAGAATCATTAAATGATAAATGGGACCCATCAAAATTTGTGATTTCCAGCAAGTTTCGGTCAGTAGTTCAAAAAAGTGTTGGTAGCATTTCTCTTCATAATTTATTTCATAATTAGGTGGTTCTCTTATTCCATAGTTCTTCATTGATTTATCCATAAATTAGATTTTGATTCATATCAAGTTTGTTATGTGCAAAACCTCTACTTCAATTTGTTTCTAATTTGAAAATTTTCTATTTCTATTGGCTGCCTGAAATTACCCTCAAAAGGCATTTGGTACGCAGAATGTTTTTACTTTCTGAGGAATATAAAGTTGGAATTATTAGTTTCCCAAGTTTGGTTTATCATCTAAAAAATAACATTCCTAGATAACATGGTTTCTTGAGAATGTTTTTTATACAAGTTTCCCATCAAATTATTCCCATGGAGGTAGGTGAAAATCTAACATTTCTGAGTTAAAATGAATGTTTTATTACCGTAAACATATTATGTTATCTTAATTTGCTTAGTTAATGCAATAAAAATCTTTAATTTTCAAATAACATTTATGAACATTCCCAAAAAGATATTTATGACCAACCAAACAGATTTAATCATTTTTGGAAGTTTTAGGAATCATAAATCCCAAGAATTATGATTCCCAATAACTAATTTCCAAGCATGAAAAAAGTTCCCTTCTATCAAACTCCCTCTCAATGTGTTCTATCATTTTTTTTATCTATTTCCCTTTTTATCAAATTTGATTGTTAGCTTCCTCATCCACCTAAATTTATACTTGATGATTGCATTGAGGCATTACAGAGTACAGACACATGCATGATCTTTGGCATTCATCAGTTGTCAATATAAGGCCTGACAGCTGGACAAGCAAGATGTTCAACCTAATGGAATAATGGAATGCCCAAGTCCCACATTGAGTAGTTTGAGATGCTTGGTGGAGTACTTAAGTGGCTTGGTTCTCTCCCCTTGACATCAAATTTTAAAGGGAGGGTTCCCCAAGTGATTGGGTGCCTATCAATTGGTAATAGAGCTAGTTGTTGGTGTCTCAGAAAGGACTACCTACGGAAGGACTGACCAAAAAGACTACGTGAAGCATCATAGAGTGCCAGCTGCTGAGACGTCGGCTCTCAAGGGTGGTGCTACAATAAGGACTTTAGTATTATGAGGTGCATAAGTCCCAAATCAAGTAGTATGAGATGCTTGGTGGAGTACTTAGGTGGCTTGGTTCTCCCTAAGGGAGGGTTCCCCAAGTGCTTGGGTGCTTATCATAAACCTAAGTTTTTTTCAATAACCAGTTAGTGTGAATCACTGAATCCAAATTTGGTTAGTTCTGAAATTCAACATAACTTCAACAGTTAGCAGGCTAACAAGATATAAATAAGCTGCAGCCTTAGTTTACTCTGAGGTGACTTGTAAAAATAAAAAAGGCAGGAGATTTTCCAAGGATTGAAAAGAAAACTAAAAGGCAGTATCCGAATTATAGCAGGAATATAATTTCAATTTTCAAATAGTTTAAGCATGGCTTCCTCCTTGAGTTGATTGAAAACATAAAATCAGTTTATGACGCTGTCTTTAATACTCTAAAGGATATAAAATAATTGGATTTAATCAAATTACTCAACTCAGATCATAAAATATTATAAATGAAGGGCGGCCCAGTGCACGAGGCTCCCACCTAGTGGGGTCTGGGGAGGGTAGATGTACGCAGCCTTACCCCCGCAAGCGGAGAGGCTGTTTCCAGGACTCGAACCCGTGACCTCTTGGTCACTAAGCAGCAACCTTACCGTTGCGCCAAGGCTCACCCTCTATAAAATATTATAAATGAAAAATTACAAAATTAAGTTGAAAGTTTGGAGAAGGGGGAGGGGGGAGGGGTATATTATAATTAAAAAGTGTTGATGTTCATGATTGAAACCAAATAAAATCTTATGACTGTAACTGTCTCACCATCACAATTTCCAATATCTTTTACAAGTAATGTGCAGATATGAATATGAAACTTACAGTTAAACTAAATGAACCAAAAACATTACCAGCACTTTCATCACTTGGGAATCTGTTCCTCTCAGGGAGTCCAGAAACTGAAATTTCTTTTCTTTCTTATTGATAACAGCCAAGCACCAATGGATCTCTTTATGGATAGGTACAAATATCTGGGAACAACAACAACAGATAAGGCAAAAGATCAGTATAAAAACCAATTTGATTGGTTATAAGAAAAGCAAAAAATTGAAAACTTGGTCAACATAATTACCTTATCACATTCATGTAGGCCATATCCCAATTTCTTTTGGCTGGTCCATCTCCTCACAGATTTGAAATCATAACCATTTTTGCCACTTATTAACTGGTAATTCCAATTCACGAATAAAAGCATTAATGACAGACCAATATCACTAAATTACGGAACAAATATAGATAAAACCAATGTTTTTAAAACCGGACCGGACATGAAACCAATCAAGACATGAATTCAAGGTTCAATAGTTTAACCGTAGTTGAACTAGTATTAATTAAATAATAATATTTAAATAATACAAACATAATATTACATAAACATAATATCATAATTTTATAAAATTAAAATAAAATGTCATTTTATATATTTTTATTTTTTAAAGTGCATGTAAAAGTCTAAATATAATATTTAAGTTTAAATTTTAATAAAATATAACAATTTTATATATAGAGTAAAAAAATCTTAAATTAATATAATATAAAATATAATGATATAAAAATTATAAATTAATATAAATGACTAAATTATATCTTTATAAGAAAATTATTAAAAATAAAAAATAACATAATTTATTTTAATTTATATTTATTACTAAATTTATTTATTTATTATAAAAATATTTTTAAAAATTTTAGAAAATAAAAAATATCAATTCAACCCGATTTTCTAAACCAGTTCTTGACTACTTTTTACTGAATTTGAGCCGATTCATCTAGTTTTTGACAGGTTTTTTTAGACACCGAATTTATGGTTCTTCCTAACTAGTTTTAAGTTGAACCGACCGGTCTACTTCTGACAACACAGGATAAAACACACAACACATATGACCAATATGTCTTGTTTTTATGCAAAAACTTTTCTGTTGTCTTGACAAGCAATGTGGTGGAGTTGGTTTCTATTGTCTTGACAAGCAATGAATCCAAAAGTACACGCCTGACCAAATATGTACCCAAACTGCCTCAAACCAAAATCCCAAATGGTTGGAGATGGGTTGTATTTTTTTAGAAGTCATTTATAGTGATTGAACTTTTCAGACCCGAACCCAACCGAACCGGCTTGTTGCCCACTTCTAGTGAATTCGCTGGAGTTGTTTGGCGGTAGCTTAGGAGGTTCACTAGGGAGAAGACAAGATATACTCTAGGTTTCCCTTTACATATGAGAGAATGAGAAAGTGTGAACATGAAATTGGGGGCCCAATATGTTTGAAGTCTGAAAAAACCCTTAAAAGGGGGGAAGTTCTGCCATGAATTTCACAAGTCACCATGGTGCCATGGCAGACATTGTCATACAACAGAAAATAATTGATGGAGAATGATGGAGGAGGTCCAAAACACCATGTTATACATTTATGAAAGTGGCATGGTGCCATAATGATTATTTGATAACATCGGTTACTTTATAAGGAAACATTTTCAATGCAAATATATTTTCAGACATGTTTCTTAGAAAACATTTCCCTTACAGTTACTTTCCATGAAAGAAATGAAACATAAAAAATATCTAGGCAATATATCCCAAAAGATTAAAAAAGGCCCAGTGGACACGTGCATGTGTGTGCAAGCACTGATCAGTTTATTCAGATGGTAAAAGTATGTTACCCTTTTGTAGAAAAAGGTATTGAAAAAATGACAGTTCAGAAACTTCTGCGGCTCTCTTCTCTCCCTCTCTTTCAACAACTCAAGGTACAAATTTATCACCTGCAAAAGGGTGGTACAAGATCACAGAATTTCAGTGTAACAATTTCAAATTATGAACTAGTTAGGTATCAACTTCTTTTCCTCAGCAATTTAACAAAGGTTAAACAAACGATAAGCAAAAAAGATAACCTCGTCGTTTAACCATGCACCCGGCCTAAGGCACTGAAACTTTTCCCCTGAAATCTCAATGCCAGATTTCTCATGGTTAACCAAGATCTTCCACCTGTAGAAGCAGGCCCTAAATAAGATGTGGTAAAGCTTAAGCATTTTTCAATTGCATATAGTAAATTTTTCAAAGCATACCTGTTGGAAGAAAAGGCATGTGCAACCTCAGCTTCTTCTTCCTTAGTAAGAGGAATAAAAGGTTCCACTGGCACTTCCTAAAATCCGTACTAAAATTTTGTCAATTGCACAAAAATTTCCGCTGCTTCTTATGCCTTAATAACACAGTGGCACATTGCAATGCATTCATCATAAAAAATAAAATAAAAATGAACAATACAAAAAAAAAAAACACACAACTAAGCAATAATTACAGGCTAATCAAATATACAAAGAGAGATGGATCAAGTAACAAGTCTTTACCTCTACTACTTCCTTCTTCGGGCGCAACAATTCAAACGTGGACCTACGTGTCTCATTAATTTGAATTTGAAACGACAGCCTCTTAAGCGTATCATCTCGCTTCCCAACAGCCCTGAGCAACTTCTTGTAGACTTGAACACTCAGATCAAGCTCCGATCTTAAAGACAGAGTCTCCAACATCTTGGAAGCATCAACGACATTCAAATTGCCATTAGTCAACTCAGAAACCACAGATGAAGTTGACTGCTGCTGAGGGCCACCCTGCATAATATCCTTAGCACGCAAATCCTTTATCTCAGTCACAACCAAATCACCTTCCTGCCACTTATGCTCCGTCGCCACAGAGCGCACTTCTCGTCCATCTTCTTCCACAGGACGAACCACTTCCACACCCGAATCCTCCGAAACCATGCCCTTGGGACTATCAGTATCCAATTCTATCACCTCCTTGCCCTTATCCTCAAACCTAATGGTACCCAACGCAGAATTCTTCGCCCTCTGGTAATTTTTACTTAACACGTAGCCCACATCGTTAATAACCTCCTCTTTGTGAGAATAACCACTAGCACTCACGCCCAATTCCGTTCTAGAAAAGGTGCGAAGGTCAAACTTACGCGGTCTACACGGGGCGTGAACCTCCCTGCGCAAAGTTGAGTTAACCTCCGGGTACCGAGAAATTCTTGCGAGCACGCTACGCGAGGATAACACGGGTCGAGTCTGGTTCTGCGACATTGTGGACAGTCTGGGTCGTTTCGTATCGGGAGATGGATTGTTTTGATTGACGGAGAGCCAGTGTTGGCGGCGCTTGCCGGTGCTGGTTACGACAGCCATTGGAGAAGAACGCGCATGTCCGGTCGGGGTGGGGAATTTGGGGGTTCTGCGAAACCCTAGAAAGGTTAGGGTTTGTGAGGAGCGGTATCTGAGAAAGCAGAAGGTGGAATTGAGAATGAGAAAGGAGGGCAATGGAATTGGGTGGAAGTGGAAGGGGTTGACTGCGATAAATGTTGTAACGTTGAAATTGAGAGGGAAGAGAATTTGAAGTGCGGAGTGATAGGTTGTGTTGTTATGGATCTGTTGTGTTGTTCATTCACCTCCGCGCTTGTTCCGCTCAGCTTCAGTTTTGCCTTTTCTTTTCTGCTTTCGCGGCACAAAAACACAACTAGCATTCTTTCCCACTGTTTTCCTTTTTCTACCTAAAATTTAATACAATATAATTTCTATCTACCAATAGTCTAAACTCTAAACAAAAACTCATACTATTAATCGATTAAAGTATAAATTTAAATAGTTTGTTCTCATTTTTTTTATTTTTTTTCACATTTTTTTCTCTTTATATCATCATGATTGCAACTTCTTCTTTCTCAACTTCAACATTCCTTTCATCGGCAATTTGCTATAGTTGCATCTCTTTGTTTTTGTAGCTTTTCTAACAGTAATGACAAAAAATTTCTGCTTTTATTTTCACTTCTTCTCTCTTTATTGACAATTGTGACTTCTTTTGTCTCAATCTCAACATTCCTCTTATCGTCAGTTATATCTTATTGTTTTTTAGCTTCTTTGCACGACAGTTGAAAATGCATCCACAATGTTAGATTTGTTGTTGGTGACATCAAAACTTCTCACCGAATAGTCCATGCCTTGGTGCATGGAATTTCGATAGATGGTGTCATGGACGAAGGAGGAGGACGATAAGAGATTGGTGAAATTGATCCTTTTCTAAGTGAGAAAAAAGTTGAAGGAACTTGTTAGGATTTCTCTCTTTCAAGAGCAGAATCGACTATGTTTTAACAACTAACTTCATTAGTGAAAAACAATTACTTCTTTTTATAGGAAAATTTATTGTTGATATATGTAATTTTCATAAGGAACAAATATGTAAGCTTAAAACAATTCTAAATATTTCTAAATGAAAAACAATTGCTAGAGGAAATTGCATGTAAGATTAAAACAATGATAATAATTAATTTCTTATACAACATGCAAGTTTTTAGCAATGATCAATTCATCAATTTTTGCCTATAATAAATACATTATAATATTTTCATTGGAATATTTTTTTTAATATCATATTATTAATTAATTATTTTATCTTCATTAATTAATTATTGTTGTGACATATTATATCATATTAATATTTATAAATTACATCAATAATTTATATTAGTGATCAATATATTATATTAATAATCGATTAATAATTGATAATTTATTAATAAAATGATAAAATGTGTAAAAATTTAGTTGATAAATGACAAAATGAACCGTTACAAAGTTTCTATTAATTCTCTGTCATAATACCGGAAAACATTACATGTTTACCGATCAAAAGATACAAAATTGAGCGAGCAACAAAACAACGAATACAAACTATGTCCATACAATATCAAGAGAAACTTTTTAAGTTACAATCGAAGATATTGAAATAACTTTATTCTTAAAACTAAGAAATATATATTATATATATATATATATATATATATATAATATAGAGGAGAGATCCATTTATTTCAGGAATAAATTTATCTAGATTTATTCTGTTTAATAACTCATGCTCTACATCAAATTTTAACGATCCACTCGTTAAATTTAAATTTCTTAATGCATAGGTCGAGTCTGCAAATTTTCATAAAATTTGAAAAACTATTTGATACTTCATTTCATTAATTTATAATCATAAAATCATTTTATACTAATGAAATGAAGAATTAAATAATTTTCAAATTTTATAAAAATTTGCAGATTTGATCTATGCATTAAGAACTTTAAATTTAACGGTTAGATTGCTGAAATTTGATGTAGAACATGAATTGTTGAAAGAAATGAGTCTAGGTAGACTTACTGTTGAAGTAATCAGATCCCTCCTCATATATATATATATATATATTTATTTATTTATTTATTTATTTATTTATTTTAGGGTAAATTATGTTACACCTTTAACTTGATCACAAGAAGAGAAATGGGTGAAAAAAGAGACAAACATCAATTATTTGTTTAAAATTATATTACTACATGCAAATGGTGTGGCATTCTCAACTAAACACCCAATTGACAACATATCAAACTTAAGAGGACAAACCAACTTCTTAAAATGAACATAATTGGGTAAAGCTATCAGAAAATATTTCACAACTTAATTCTTCTCATTTAGTATTGTTAGTCATCTTCTTTGACTTGTTCATCACCACATGGGAGTGAAAGTAGAGTCTCTGTATACACAACCATAAGAGATCTATGTGAGCCATCACAATAGGTTTGATACTCTTCCAACTGCCCCTCATCATTGCATTTCACCAAACCAGTATTGCCATCTGTCCCAACAATATCACCACATTTTGTAGAGCAAATGAAGGAGAAATATTGACTAGGAATGGCATCAACAGGCACAACAATAGTCTTGGTCCAAGATGACTGTACCTTGTATTCTTCCATCACCCATATTTCTGCAGGAGAGTCACACCCCGCAATACATAGACTAAGAGATTCTCCAAGTACCTTTAACTCACAAAAATAAAACTCACACTCTAAATCAACAGCTGGCAGAGGTATCTCCGAAAAACTCCTCTCCATCAAATCAAAGGCTACAATAACATTCATTGATACATCGTCTCGAAAAGCCAACCAATGAATAGCATCATTCAAGAGCGATCCGAATCTCTCATCGTCACCACTATTCATATAAGACAAATGAATATCCTCAATTTCCTTCCATGCATTAGCTCGGAGCGAGAAAAACTCCACACGTGATGCAACATCTAAGGTTGGATTATAGGAGACTTGAACTACCAAGTAGTCATCTGTTGATGAGTCATACCCAAAACCATATAGAAATGTGAAAAAAAAAGCATCCATATCTGATGCAATAGGTGAGTGAGAAAGTTGTTTGTGGAAGCCTGTGGATGGATTCCACACCAAGAGACTTTGCCAACAGTCCAAAAGTACAAGCCCTCTACATGAACCTATGATTCGAGTGGGATGCGGGAAGTTGAGGTTTAGTGCAAAGGAAGCAGAATCATCATGAAGCGATGCATTAAAATCTATGGATCGGATTACAGGAATAGAAGGTTCTATGAACAAAAGTCTTTGCGTGCCCGTGGCAACTAATTCAAAATGTGATTTTGCGAAATGGGAATCAGATATAAGAGAATACCATGACTTAGAGACACATTTGAAACGGAGAAGAGACTTTACCGGCAACCTTAACAAGATTTGAATGATCAATTCCGTAGGTAACACGATCTTTTTCTTTCTCCTTGTTCGTTTGCCTCTCTTCATTTTAGAGAGCTTGATTATTATGCAACATGACTTAGATATATATAGAAGATAAAAGAAGCTACCACAATTCTTCCTTCTATGATACTCTTTCCATGCTTCTTCATTATTTAATACTTTGAACAAATAATTAATATTGTTGAATGGGTCAACAAAACCATGCATGTTTTATTTTGTATATTGTAAGATATTTTTAAAACAATTCAAGAGTGATACAAATAATGCATATTTAAGATAATTTTTTTATTTTTTTCATATTTTATTATTTAAATTAAACTTTGATTTAAATTTTAAGGTTTATTACATTATATAAAATTTAATTATTACGTAACATAACTCAGATATATTGAAAGGAGAAAATATGCAACATAATCTCAATGAATAAATCAACAATTTTGTGGTGAAGTATTATTTTCTCTCTCTCTCTTTTTATTTTTGTTTTTTTATATTTTTAAATAATAAAATTATATAAGTAATTCGTGAAGTTAAATGTTATTACTTTAATTCTTAGGATAACATATTTAAATAAAAATTTGAGATTAATTTAAAATATTTTAATATTTGAAGGACTATTTTGTGTAATTTATAACAAGTTTACAATAACTTCTATTTATTTATTTGGAATCACTTTGTACAAAAATGAAACTTAAAAATAAAATTGGTGGTATGGCATTAATTCCGTCGTCTGCACTCTTTCCA